TAACAAAATAATGCTGAAAACCGATAAAAACCCTGAAAACCATACATTTCACACCTGAGCCTCAACTCTCGCGGACCGGTACCAAACGACTCATGGACCGGTACCGGTCCGAGGCCCGGGGGTTGGGGACCACTGCTTTAACACATAAGTGTGACTCCAGGCAATGATGCATCCTGCTGAAAACTTTCTTTGGTGCACTTTTTAAACATTTAGAATCTTAGAATCAGCGAGTTTCTGCAGATTCTGGTCAGTGCTGATGCATCATGCGCACAGCTTTCTTTATGGTTGTGTTCTGTCAGGATTACACACACATTAAATAACCTAAGAAAATGTAAATAAAGTCACTTTGTAGGCTAGAACTGTGACCACTAAAAGAGAGAGAGAGAGAGCCTCATAGTTGATTATTCAGCTGTGAGCAATGTTGCAGCTTAAGTGTGTAATATTTCTGCTGCACTGACAATCAATACATTAAACCACTGTGAGCAGTAATGTGGATTTAGAAACCGTGGCATGCACTTCCTTTGCTCAATTTGCATTAACATGTTTAAAAGTACTGAAAGGAGTTAACTGCTGACATATTTAAGAAGCTACTTCATGCCAGAGCAATGTTCTAGCTTATATACACATATATATATATTCCAACTGATATTTCACAACAAAACCAATAAAGACATTTCAAAAACATCAGCTTGGTAATTGGACCTACAGGAACTAGAAAGAGTCAGTCCGGTGCAGCTCAGTCTTCTACATACGCAGCTTTAACAAACCCGACAAAGGGTATTGAAAGGTTTTATGTGGAACTGCTGCTTGTTGAAAGCAAAAGTTATCAGATTAGGCAGAAGGATACGTCACTAAAAAAGGAAGTGATTTGCTTAAATTCACTGGCCACTTTGTTAGGTACACCTGTTTACTGCTCGTTAACACAAATGTCTAATTAACAAATCCCATTTCAGCAATTTGGTGGACGAGGACATGGTCACGACTATCTGCTCAAGTTCAAACTGAGCATGGCAACGGGAGAAAAAGAGCGACTTTGAGCGCTGCATGATTGTTGGTGCCAAATGACCTCATTTACTCTCCTGGCATCTGCCCCAATCTAGAAACATCTGCAGGGTTTGCAGATAATGGTCTGAAAAAGACAAACTATCCAGTGAGCAGCAGTTCTCTGGCTGATAATGCCTAGTTGATGCCAGAGGTCAGGGGAGAATGGTCAAACTGCTCTGAGCTGATGTGAAGGCAACAATAATGCAAATGACTGCTCATTACAACCAAGGTGTGCAGAAGAGCATCTCTGAACACACAGCACGCCACACCTTGAAGCAGAAGACCACACTGGGTGCCACTCCTGTCAACTAAGAACAGGAAACTGAGGCTACAATTTACTGCAAAATCTCCATGAATGGATGAATGCTTGTCTGCTTGTATGAATAGTTTAGTCTGCTGCAGGTGGTGCAATGGTTTAGGGCACATATGTCAAACTCCAGGCCTCGAGGGCCAGTGTCCTGCAGGTTTTAGATGTGTCCTTGATCCAACACAGCTGATTTAAATGGCTAAATGACCTCCTCAACATGTCTTGAAGTTCTCCAGAGGCCTGGTAATTAGCTAATCATTTTATTCAGGTGTGTTGACCCAGGGTGAGATCTAAAACCTGCAGGACACCGGCCCCCGAGGCCTGGAGTCCGACACCCCTGGTTTAGGGGGATATTTCCTTGGCACACTTTGGTCTCCTTAGTGTCACTGAACATGATTTAAATTGCCACATCCTACCTGACTTTTGTTAAGTACAGAAGAATGCTTTCTATGTTAACCAGACTGTCAAAAGCCAGTTTATTTTGATGAAATTGGATCCTGACTGATGTAATTGTTTGTATTCATTTCCCTGACCGAACATAACACATTAGAAGCAGAGGCCTGTGGTAGCTTGAGGTCCAAAACTCCAGTATCAGAAAGGCTCTAATGAGTCACCAGTGCGTACAAAGCACTTCTTCACACTCGCTGAAGAAACTGTTCATCCTGTATTGTTCAGAGGTGACCTCATCCTTTTCCTGCTCAGCATGCTGTGTATCAAAGTGCACTGTGGAAATACAATGCCCTGCTGTAGACTGGGACCACGCAGGAGATCGTTTCAAAGCTTTTAAGAGCTCACTCTGGTGGTCAGTTTGAAGCATAGGTCATGTGCTAAGGTCTGCCGCTTCCATTAGGCTGCTCGGAATTGGAGGGCTGCTGGAAAAAGCAGCTGCTTTAGTTTAAAGCTCTGTCACAGTCTTTTATATCCTCCACACTCTCACTTAAGCGTCATTTTGTTTTACTGTCCTCTAGACACGGGACCTTCTGGGTAAAAGTAGCCGGTCTGCACCGCAGACCAGAGCCCACTTCAATAATAAGACCGCATCCCCCAGCTGACAGTGGAGCTCTGCCTCATTAGCTAAGCAGCCCTGCCTCACGCTGCAATGACACGCGGCCACAGTCGGGAAAAACAGCCCGCTGCTGCCGCTCAGCTCCCAACAAAACCACGCAGGGAAATAACCACCCGCTAACAGAAGGTGAAAGAACACCAACCTTTCTTTAGTTCGTTCCTGCGCCCGAAAAAACGCCATGACCGCACAGCATCCTCTTCAGAAACTCAATACCGACAAGCCACAACAGCCCGAGCTCTGTAAACACGGAAACTTGGTGGAAACCACGTGACCCACTCCAAGACAGACGGTGAGCGGTCTGCACAGAGCAGCGGAAGGAGACGTCACTCTGCTGGCACGTTCAAGGACCAACACCGCGTCTGCATCAGTGCCCTATAAATAAAATTGAATATGTTTGTTTTGTCGGTACAAATATTTTGTAATTTTAACCACAAAAAGAGTAATTTAACTTTCACTGCTATAATAGTGGGAGTTTTGATTATTTTTTTAATTTGAATCAGAAAACCAAGAAACAAATGCACTGAAAATTGGTTAAAAGTTAAATTAGTGGATTACACAAAACCGCTAAAAAAGAGCACAGCACATCACCAGAGACTGTCATCATCCAGGTCACACCCTCAAACCAAAACAATCAACGTACAGCATGCACCGTCTTTCCTGCCACAATCAGACCGATTGCAAAATAAGGACAAAGTAAGATACACACAAAATAGAATTTATCCCAAATCCAAATGCAATGATTAAAAAAGGCCAGAACAAATAAACAATAGTATCTTATCAGTGTACATGTGGTGGTACACTTGCTGTGTGTGGGACACGCAGACAGCGCAGTGAACGATCTGTCCATGCATAGACGATCTCGGTGTGCCTGAGTCTTGACGCGTCATGCGTGGTGACAGTGAGGGAAGTTTCCGATCCTGAGAGGTCTTCAGTTTGAAAAAGGAGCCGCTGTATTAAAAGCTTTATTATTTTTGTTGGTACTTCTCATCATGTCCCAGCCGCAGCGTGTCTGCAGACCATCATGCAGTGGAGGAGACACGTCACCGGCCTCGCTTTTAGCCTTGTTTTTGTTGTGTCATATTTCACGAACAAGGTAGGTACTAGCGAGGATACGAGTCAAAAATTTTAGTTTGAAAAGGAGGTTACTGATTTAGAGATTCCGCGGAGATGCTTTGAGTAATCCCAGGTGAATCCATCCAGACAACAGCTCTGTAAAGGGTAATATTAGCGCTTGGTATCAGGGAGTAGAAATAAGTGCAGGAAGTGTGAATAGGATCCACAGTTATGCCGAATTGAAAACTCGATTATATCACATAGTTAGAGTCGTGTTGTGTCCCGTACAGATTTATAGAGACACCTGTACAAACCTAATTGGCAGACTTTTCAATGGGTTTTGGCGGGAGTAATGAAGCATCTCTAGGGAAATGATTAATACCACACTGCCTGCATATGAAATGAGTTCACTGTCTTCTCTTTTTTTGTAGTTTGTCCTGTCAGTGTTAAACTTCACCTATCCAACCTTATTTCAAGGGTGAGTAACTGAAAATAAATATTGAATATGTATCTAGTGAAGTGACTCTTCTTTGAGGAGAATACATTTCAATAAATCTAAAGAAGTAAAAGGAATTATTCATTAGTTTAATTATGCACCCTGTTGTGTGATACCTGAATAATCTCGTGTTTGTTCTCCCTAACATGACCAAACTGCTTATTTCCAGATGGCAGACATTTATTGGAGCTATCCTGCTTCTAGTGTCTGGAAAGCTGGGATGGGTGGAAATAAACCGCATCACCAGGTACTGTCACCGCACTGCTTTCTGCTGGGTTTGATATTATACTGCCGCGTGGGAGATTTCCACACGATCCACGTGCTCTAATATTGCATTACAGATCTGCGGCTCTGTCCTGGCTTCCGGGCTCCCTCCTATTTGTGGGGAACATTTACGCTGGTTCCCGGGCATTATCACGTTTAGTAAGTGCACAGTTCACTTAAAATAACTTAATAGCACATGAATGCAGCATTCCCTTTGCATTCATGTGCTGATTTTTCTTGCTACTGTGACAATCTTGTTATAAGTGTGTCTCCTCCACGCAGGACATTCCCTTCTTCTTCACTCTTCAGAACTGCTCTCATCCCTTTAGCTACGTGATCTTCAAGGTCATCCGCAGAGAGGTAAGTGCGCTCACCGCCTGCTGTAAACTGATCCGTTCAGTCATGTGCTTCACACTCCTGCTCCTAATCGTGTTCATTGGAAGCAAATAGCAGAAAATCAGCATGTGTGCTCTCTCTGTTTTTTAGCAGAAGACACAGTGGCTGAAATTTATCAGGTATGGATGTTTTTTTTGTTTTTTTTTAAAAAAGAGATTCACACATTTCACTCAACAGCCTGACTGTAAACGTCCCTCCTTCTCTTCCAGCTTATGCCTCATGCTGCTTTCAGCCATCAACCTTCCCTTTTATGACCCTCAGGTAATTAACAGTCCTGGCTCCCTTATTGCCGGTGCCGTAGATCAAGTTAGTTAGCATGTGTCCTTGCCTTGCAGGTTGACCACAGCGGTTACCTGTGGGCCGTCTGCCATCTCGCCTGTGTTGGTAAGTCTAATATCGTAATATGATTTTAAAAAAGCAAACACTTTTAACTGTGAGAAGAATGACCATGAAGATGTCTGAGCCTTGATAAGGCCGAGGGTTTGAGGTGATGTTGTGTTTGAGCTGAGAGTCGATTTTGCCCTAAGGCTTAAATCTTTTAATAGCAATAAACGGCTGCAACAGCAGCAGAAATTGAAACAACAACACTGTTTTGCAGGTGCATATAGGGTCTTTCAAGTTCACCACAAGTCCGCCAACCTGAGGTGAGTGAAAGCCTTTGATGGGCGCACACGAGCGCCTTCCTAGTCTAGCATGCGGTGCAGTTTCTCAGCTTCAGCTTGCTCTGCTGCACATCAGAGGCTGAAGTCGCTGCTTTTGTGATTTGATTGCAGTGATCTTGAGCAGCAGTGCATTAACTACCTGTTCAGGTAAGATTCAAGTCTAAATTGTTTGATCTGAGGCTGAACCTTCAATCTTCTAACGTGAGAGTATTAATTTACTTAAACTACGTGTAAAGAATTGTGATAAACCCAAGTGTTGATGCGTTAGACATGATCCAAAAAAGCTTATTAGTTTCCTTATTCGACTGCCATTCATAAGTCTTAAAATTAAGGGTCGATATACGGGATAGTGATGTCTAAGTTATTCAGTCGGATTCATTTCAAAACTTTAACCTTTCACGTTAAGCAGATTTAGATATTATCAGTGCCTAATTACAGCTTCCCCCCTTTGAACAACAGTGTGCTGCTGCTGGCTGTTGCTGCTCACCCGACAGGTACGACTGACCTCGCACAGATTCTGCAAATATTCTCACAAAAACTTCTGTTATTGCTCATTTTGCAGCTCCTCTTCAACTTCTTTAGGAGCCAGCACAGCAGACCCTCCACCTCTGTCACACCACCCCCCTGCATGTCCTCTTTCACTACATCCATGGATCTCCTCTGAGGTCTTCCTCTTTTCCTCCTGCCTGGCATCTCCACCTTAAAAACTCCTTTGTCCAATTTGTCCACTGTCTCTTCTCTCCAAACCGCTCAACCTGAGCTGTAACTCTGCTGAGCTAGTTTAACATATTCAACCTCCACTTCCAGCTCTGCCTCCTCTCTTTCTGTTACTACCACTGTCTCCAGCTCATTTTCATATATATATGTGTGTGTATGTAAATTTATGCCTCTTGTCCCTGTGCAGGTGACCTCACGGGTGCCTTGGAGTTCCCGTCCCTGCAGTCGCACACATTTCACTGCGGCTGCTGTGCCAGGTGAAACCATCAGTTTTCTCTAATATTGATTGCATCGGTGTTGGTTAGCAGTGAAAACAAGCTGTCGTCCTTTGAGTTCATATCAAACTGAAGCCTTCAGAGTCCGTTCTAATTATACTTGGTTATAAAATAAGTAGATCTTTGTTAGAAAGTTTTAAATAACGGCATATTTAGTGTGTTTATGTACGAGGATTCCTGTTCCAGTTCTGTAATAGGACAGAGGAAGGTTTGTGTCCTTCTTACTCGTTGTGTCTCACTTCACAGCGCTCTGCTGGGCTTTTTGCTGCGGTTGGCTACAGTCAAACTAAAAAGCGGACTGTCCTTTGAACACTTTGGGGTCTGGATCTTTTTATCTAAGGTGACTTCACTCTTCAGATATGTTAAACTCATGTAACACACAGTTCATCACACACACACACGTGTTGATCGTCAAAGTCGAACTGATGCGATTTACTTGTTGGATTATGTCCTGTCAGGTTACTGCCATGCTCCTGTCTCCATTTATTTTCTCTGTGAACTCTAATGCTTCGTCTCTTTTGTGGTAGGTACCAAACTTTTCTGTTTCCAGCTCATTTCAGCACAAAAACAAATGTTCATTTTCCATGCTTCAGATTTCTGCATCTGTCTTATTTGTTCTAACATGTTTGTGAACATTTGTACGTGAATTCTTGTCAGTTGTGGTTTTAAACAGTTGCAGGTTTATGTCCAACTTTTAATGCTTTGTTTTCCAGTTTAATACACGTTAAGCTCGTGACGCTGGATTTTTGATGAAAGCCCTGATGTGTTTTTGATTGCAGTGTAGTCGTCAGTCACGTCGGAGAGGCTCTGCTGATCTATTCGGAGAGGGATTCTCACGTGTGACGAATTTCAGCACTTTAGACGAGTTCACCTCAAATGACTTTTTTTTTTATTAACTGGGGATGCAGATTCTATTTTTCTACATTCATTTTATAACTTTGTTTATTCTCTGATCTCCTGACCAAATAAAAGTTTGGTACAAACTGTCCTTACTGCACTGGGTCAGAATTTAAAGGTTTGCATATTATTACTTACTTATTTGTCATTTGTAGATGAACTGTGACAATCCCAACACTCCATAGCTACACAATTATTTATTCATCCAAACTATCCGCACAAAAAACATTTAAAAAACAAAACAAGTCAGAAAGACTGAAGGGGAGAAAGGAAACAACGGCAATCTTCTTCACAGCATCAGTTCTTTTACAGATGGACATTTTTATTTCTCCTCCTTGTTTCGCTTCGGTGAGAATAGAGCATTTAATGGCTGCCTCCTCCGTAAGCGCACCTCAGGATTCTTCTCTTCTTTGATGTAACCTACGACAGAGGACACGTCTTAGTATTAAAGACAGTACAATCCTCTCTCGTGCACTTAAAAGCATGACAGGATGAAGAATGGTCCTGCTGAGAAATGGGTTCAAATGTTTTGCCCTTGCTGCTTTAATCTACAGTGCATAACTGTTAAATTACCTCTCTCAATGCACGTTTGCGTTGATGGGAATCCAACTTCCCAGAAGTTTTCAGGTGTGCATGGAGGAACGTACAGGAAACGATGCCTTGAGCAAGCAGACAGCTTTTTCTGTTTTTCCTCCTCTGGCAGATGGGCGTAATACTGCAGGTCAACAATTATTTAAAATAGGATCAGTGTTAGCAGTGTGTCAGTTTTACTAAACTCAAGTACTTAGAATACTTACAATTTCACATTCCTTGCAGGTAGTGCCCTTCAGTTTTCTTCTCTCATCCTTTTTGCGAACGACTGCTACATGTGCAAACGCTGGGTGTCTAATCCAGAGACAGATCTAGGTTATGGAAAACTGACAATGTCTGACCAGCAAACATGATCATCTTCAGGTAAACACCTGAAAAGGTTGATCAGTTTCTCACCGTGCTTTAGACTGGCATGCACTGTCTTCAGGAGGATCTTCTCCTTATTTGGAGAATTTAGGGGAAAAAAAACAAACAAACAAAAAAAAAAAAGGGTTTACCTTACAAATAGATATCTGAAAATACTGATCTAGATTGCACACATTTTCTTTTAATCTGAAAGCTCACCAATGGCCTCCTCTTCATCATCATCACCGTCACAGGGCTGGCTCTGGTCTAGATGTGACCTGTTGCAAGATTTGTACTCCCCGTAAGCCGTTGTGTCGAACATCATATCCAAGCTATCATTTGCTTTTTCACCGAGTCCTTGAAGTAGGGACAGTTGAGATTACTAACAGTTTTAATCAGCATATTTTAAAGATTTTAGAAAAAAAGTGTTGCCGTGTATATTCACCGAACACACTGTCTCCTCTGTCTCGGTCCTTCTCTCTTTGACGCTGAAGTAAGCTGTGACTGACCCAGGTGCAGTCTGTATCTGCCATCTCCACATGATGCTGCCGCTCATCCATTTCCTGGAACACACAAAACCTGTGTTAGACTCAAACAACGATGCGTCCAGAAGAATAGATTTAATTTAAATAATGTTAAAATGATGAACGCTCACATTAAATAGGGACACAGTTTAAAATAATGAGGTCAGTATATGTACAAGTAGCCCCCGTGAGATAAAAACTCCGGCTTCAGATCGACCTCAGCACTCGCATTTCAGGCAGTTTTTTCTACTCCCAGGTCTGGATGATGTTAATAAGAGAGGATATTCCTAATATGGTCAAGCCCAAAGGCCCCGAGCCAGCTTACAGTACAGTGCATGCTGAGGGTGAAGGTTGTTCAGCAGAGCAGATCACGTGACTATACCTCGTCTCCTTTCCACTCGCTGTCGTACATGGACAGAGCGAGCGCGGGATCGACGCTCCATGTAGGCTCCACTGTGTGCTTCCTATCGGCTGGAACACACAGCCACATTCAAGTTAACTGAATATTATCGAGGAGCATTTCAAACTGTACAACAATCAGAAATATCCACATGTCCTTCAAATGACTTTGCTGAAGAGAAATCACCGTCTTTAGCTTCACGCTGGCCCTGTGAAGCATTCACATCCTGCAGAGGGCTTCTTTTCTTCCCATCTGAATCCAGTTTAACCTTCATTTTTGGCTTCTTGAAAGCAGAACTGCTACAAGAAGCGCTTGGCTTTTGGCTGGTGCTCATATTATGTCCTGACTGTACCTGTGTGATATAAAAAGCACCTTGAAACTCTATATTTCTGTCTTACATTTAATTAAACAGCCTGGACACTAAACGTGGTTAAAATTAGAAAATGATGTTACTGCCTTCTCTTGCCTTCCTATCTAGTTGCTCCTTCTTGATGCTTGGATTGCTCACAGATATGGCAGTCTGGCTGATCTGTTCACGCTGTAGGTGTTCACCTTCCTCCTGGTTGTCTGCATCTTCTTGAAGTCCTCGGTGACTGCGTTCCTGTACCTCTGGACTTCCCTCCTTCACCCGTTTTGCCCTGCAAACACTGCCGCCTTCTGCAAACCGTTTGATGCGTGGGAGAAGAGATGGGGACCCTTTAGATGTTGAGTCTGGACTGTGCATCAGTGTGGATGAAGAGAACGAGAAGCAAGGCCTTGAAGAGGGAAACAAGTATAACTGTAGCACCGAAGTGTTATTTGTTTTCTCTTTTCCACACGGAGGTGTCTGCCACAGCAGAAGATGATGTCTCAATGCTTACTTTAAACGAACGTCCTGCTTCCAGAGAGTGCCGAAGCTTCTTTGCTGGCTTGGGGCTTTCCTGAGATTCTAAGGTGAGAAAGAGAGCTAATCTGTTTGATCACACCTAAGATTCGTTTTTATTAAAGCGTGATCACATTACATTTTTATTAGATCATCATTTGTTTCAAATCCTGCTTATACACACCATCTGCTGCTTTTCAATAAGTTCAAGGCCACAAGTTTCTGCAACTGCTGCCTCTTCTTCATCTTCAGTCACATCGTCTGAAAATGGAAACAAACATATTAACAGCAACACCTTTACGGCGCTCACGATCGCATCTACGGAAGACCAATAATGGATGAAGTCATACTTGAGATCTGCGACGCGTCCATTTCACAGGTGTTTGGGACGAGCACTTCTGCTCTTCCAGGATTCTTTGTGGCACCCTCAGGATCTTTGTACAGCTCTTAAAAAAAGAATTTAGATTAGAAAACTGGTTTGTGTCTTCAGACAGGTGACGAAAGAGGAAGCTACTTTAAAGAGGACTGACCATTGAAGAGCGAATTGTTAGACTGTGGTAGAGGCACCTCTGCATAGCGCACACGCTTCATTTGGTTGTTATTTTTCTGTTTCTTCAATCTGTTTACCACAGGCAGTGAGCTGGGCAAGATCGGGGAGTCTGGAATAACGCCCTCCTCCTGTTCTGCGGGTGAGGCCTCCTTGGATTCAGACCTGAAAAGAAAAGCACACGTGTAGCGCTTCACTGGAAACTGAAACTTTAAAACTTACCGAAACTGAACCTACAAGCCTCCAGCAGGAGGGAAATTTATTTTCCCAAGGGGCCACAGAAGAAACTGGGGCTGTTAGCACCAAAAAGCTTATAAACACATAAAAATAACAACACTGAGTAGCAGCTTGGGATAATGTATTGTTCAATCCTGAAATGTCTGACCAATGTAGGTGATACACATTTCTATAGAAGTTTTAATTCAAGAGGTTTAACAAAAGTATTGCACTGTTTACAGCTATTTGCAGGAGTCATGACACAGTCCCCATTTTAAATACTTAAAATCTATTAAGTATCTTTTCACTGGAACTTTTAATATGAGGTTAAAAATTAATTAATTAAAATCTGGGCGCAAACAGAAGAAGCCATAAAAACAAAATAAACCTATCGGAGCAGTAGAATAAACTTGCATTTGTAAAAAGAATAAATGCACAAACCAGGCTCAGCAACACCAAAACACATGAAAGACAACTGAAGACATACATGAGTGCAGTGGATGATTGACTAAGAAAAACCCGTTCACAATATCTAACCAAATGAAGAACAGTCTCTGTGAGACAGATGTATCAATGTCAAGAGACACCTTGACGAGTAGACTGTGCAATGCTCAGAAACTGTAAAAAGAAATACAATAAAATAAGAAAGCGGGGGTTACATCTCAGACTCTACAGGTCTCAGTGTGTAAATGTTAAAGTTCATGACAGCACAGTCAGAAAACGATGAACAGGGATAGCTTATTTTCAGGAGAAAGCTGCTTCTCTCTAAAAAGAACATGAAGGCACAGCTTAGGCTCACAAACAAACCACAAGACCTCTGGAACAGATGAGACCAAACTGAGGAGGTGTACATATAATGCAGAGGGATGTGTTTGGCAAAACCCAAATACATCACCACAAAGCACGGTGGTGGAGTGGTGATGATTTGATGTGTCTGAGTCATCCAAGAACTCCCATATATACCAAAGTATTCTAAGTCAGCCGTCTGACGGCTAAAGCTTGGCAATAACTGGCTCATGCAACAAGACAATGATCTGAATCAAAGCAGCAAATCTACATTCAACAGAATGGCTGAAAAACAGACGAGTCAGGGTGTTGTGCAGTGGCCCAGTCAAAATCCAGACCTCAATGAACTGAAGCAAGTCTGTAAAGAGTCAAACTTCCTCCATGATGCAAGATACTGATGAACTTCAAAGTACTTCAAGTTATTGCTTTAACTTTTTAAAACATTTCTCATATTTTTCTCATGAACAAAAACATTAATGCAACACAGCTTACCGAGAACTCTTCAGTTTTTGCAGCTCAGCTCGCAGCTTATTGTTTTCATCCTCCAGCAGGTTTCTTTCATTTTCTGAGGAACAAAGGTTTGCAAAGAACATGTTTTTCTCTGTTCTTAAACAAACTGAGAATCTTAAAGAAATTTTAGGGTTTTTTCCACATTTATTCTAGTATATTACTCGTCGTATTATATAATATACTATTGTTGTGAAAGATTGCATCTGCATATGTGTATGCACATCAGAGAAGGCTATTAATGGATGTTGGACACTGAAATGAAAACACTCACTTAGTTTCTCGATAAGACGCAGATTCTGCTGCTGACCGTTTTTCAGGTTCTCCTCTAAGATGGAGCATCGATCACACTCTGCCGCTCGAAGCCTGGAAAGGGAAAGCACAGCTGGCAATCTTTATGTTTCACACCGTTTTAATGCAACACATTAAATCTTGTTAACTTTCAGTCTGCGGGGAATCTGAAGCATCCATACAATGAATCGGAAAAGGCTATTCTTGTCTTTGGTATCATGTTGCTCCAGTTAATTAGAAATCCCACATCAGTGCCAAACTGCAGCTCTCCCATCCTAAGTTATAGTTAAAATGTAACAGAGGTTCAACAAGACACATATATTCCAAACAAACAAACAAGCATTTGCTACAAAGGGAATAACAGTGGAGTGCACGTGCATTCGTCTTTGGGTAATTTACCTTTCCTCCAGGAGAGCCATGGCATCCTGCAGGTTTTTATTTTGCTCCTTGAGCTGCTGGTTTCGACTGTAAAACACTTCGAGCCTCTGCGCATCTCTGTAGAGGACAAACACATCACTTTACCCTTCATACATAACTTACTAAGACTCAAGTGTCCTTCTCATTAAACGCAAAGTGACACAACATACTCACAGGCAACGTTCCTTTTTCAGCTTGCTTACTTTTGCTTCCAATTCTAGAAACAGCAACAAGTGTAATGACGACATGTGTTTTCATTTAGCTTCTGAACTTCAAATTATAGATATGAAAGCCAGCATGAACGTGGTGAGATCAAACTGTCAGTTACCCTGAAGTGCATTTTGGTGACACTCTCCAAGTTGCCTCCACAAGTCTTGAAAGCGATCAGCTGATTTGGCTGTCCCGCTGCTCCTGTCGTTTCCAAAACTATCTGTAAGCGTCTCTCTGCTCGCTTCCTGCCAACGCAAATCAACCGTGTTTGTTTCCGCGTTTGCCTCACAACAATAAATTCATTCTTTCAGCTCATTTTAGTGTTGCTTAATGTTAATTCGCACTTGTCAATGTAAGCACGGGAAGTTAAACGTTTGACTACTTTAGCTTTGCTACATGGCGCGCGCAGACGAGCGCATAAACTTAGTGCTAATTAGCTAAATAATAATAATAACTTTCACCCCCTCAACACTCACGTGTTTACTACTTATTGTTTATTGGATTTCAGAACAAGCATTAATAAAACTTCGCCTCTGTCTTTTGGCTTCTTCTCCCAATAACCACTTAGACTACAATTAAGAAATAAATGCAACGTTTAGACTTAATAACACGAGCTCACGAGAAAACAGCCGCAAACAGACTCAGAGTTACACCGACACGTCTAAAGAATAAAAACTAGGATAAAGTGCCAAAGAGAAAAATGGTTAGAGTAACGTTTAACAGTACAGTACCATGTTTGAGCCATACAGGCTACGGCTTGACCATAACAAAATCCAAATTCGCGCGCCGAACTGCAAGCTGGGAAATCTTCTTCTTCGTTTTCCAATTGAGGTAGGAATCTTTGACGCCATCCTCTGTAAACCAGCAGCCAGTGGTTTACACTACTACTTCTCTCCAAACAACAACAATAATAATACTTAAAAATTTGTTTTATGAAATTAAGTTACAGAAAGTTGTTTGACTTGACCTCAATTACCAATGAGTAACTTTAAGAATAAAATGTCTAAAATCTGTAATAAAGAACAGAGCCATGGGGACTACAGTACAATATCATAATCAGAACCGTGTAAAAGTCCTGAGTCGGCCCTTGTTTCTTTATATTTTGAGTTCCAGGTTTAAAATACAAATTCCCAAAGAGCCATTACGTGAAAATTTGGCATGTCATGTGGTCGTAAAAAAATTGTCATACCAAATATTGCCTTTCAAACCGGTTTGAATCATCCAGCATATATTTTGCTTCATGTTCTTCTTTATTTTGTCATCATTTCTGGCTGCCCCAACACACCCAGTGAGAAGACATGCACAACACAGGTTATTCTTATATTTGTTTTTATTTTTGGTCTTTCTTTAGAATACAAAACAGCAACCAAAGTCACAAAAATAACATTTACAAAACATGTTTAACTGAGGTGACCGAGGCAACATAGAAAAGCATGTCTGAAACAGTGACATTGGTGGATTTTTAGCCTGGAGACTTGAGGTAAGACAGCGAGCGATGTCGGAAAAAGTCAAATATCTTTTACAAACCGTTTGGAATTAGTGCCTTCATTCAGTAGTGCTATTCACAAATGGAGTTTAATATCATTACGGTGCCCTAACATGTCCACGTTGAGCGGTGATTTAATGATGTAGTGCTTCAAATCTGCCTAAGAGTAAATTCATTAGAGTGACATGTAAGTCTAAAATTCTAAGCATGTTGCACTGTATGGCACCATTCAGAATGGTTTCCGTTCGGGTCCCGCTTTCACACACATGCACACGCACGCACACACACTTCCTGCTCATCCACTCTTATTAAATGGGTGCAATTGACTTCTAATAACTTCCTATACTTGTTCCCCACCAAGAACACTTCTGGCTAAAATAAGTGAATACATCATATATCACCCAAGCAGGAGCAGCTTCAGACTTTTGGGGGAAAAAAGAAACTGAAACACCATTTGTTTAAAAGAAAAAACAGAAAGTTTAACAGGCCAGAAAAAGTAAAAGTGTTGGAATGGCCACCAGTCACAGAGGCACAAACTCAAAGTCCCATCTTTTGTTCCTACAATACAAAAATGGTAAGACATTATGCAAACACTGCATCACTGAAAGAAAACGATAAAAACCACTTACCTAAACACAAAGCGGTGAAAAATAGTACAGTTTGGCCCGCGATGGACGGCGCAGGTATGTTTTTGCATGAATAAACGTTTCTCGTCTGGTTTTTTTTTCTTTCACATTTAAGACATAGTCACTGGTGATTCAGCATTGCAGATTATTACTCTTTTTTTTTCTTAGTTCCTTTGGATTTGTGCCTTTTATTGAATTTGCATCTGTCACAGCAGGGAGAATTGAGCTAGCATTACTTTGTAAATCTATATATACACATGCATTCAACATCATATTTAATCCCCCAAATTAAAGAGAAAAAAAACTATTCCAAACTCCTTTTTCACTACATACGAATTTAAGCTATAAAAACCTGCATGAGAGTCCACATAGAGTTTGCATGGAGGCTTTGCAGTTTGATGTGAGATATGCAGCAGGTTTGTAGAGGTGCTGGCGCTGAGGGGGTGGGGGTGGGGGGGGGGGGGGGGGGTATGGAATGCAGCCTTATTCCATTAATAGGGGTTGTGGGGATGGGCCTATTTGTCACCCCCTGCTTATCCAAATGGGACTCTATGTAGTTGGGTTTTAAATTCACATTATGCTGGAAGAAGAAGAAGAATTGGTAGCGGACGCTGCCAGGGCGGGGCAGGTCGTCACCACGAGAGAAAAACACTGGAGTGTGAATGCATATCTACCATCTTCCGGACCTGCAGAGAGAACACCGGGTGTAAACGTAAACCTTTAATCTGCACCTTTGCCCAAACTTGTGATCCTTTTAAAACATACTCACACTTCTCTCTCTTCACCACTGCGGGGGCACGTAGCTGTAGCTGGGTGTGCCAGGAGGCCGATATGTGGGCATCGTGACTGGGTGGGGAGCGACGGGCGCTGGTGATGGAGTTGTCAACAAAGTTCCTGAGGAGTGAAAGCCACAAGTAAAACTACAAATCGAACACATCTGTATCCTGGGTAAGATTCAATAAACCGCTGCAGCTCACCAGCTGACATGGCCATAGTGGTGCCGGCTACCATACCCATGGCGACACCGTTGTTGCGGGGAGGAGGGATAGGCGGGGCATACATCGCTGCAGGCATCCCATTGGGCTGGACCACTGTCGTGTGATGGATGACATGAGGCGGTGGAGCATACAGAGCCTGTGTGTAGTAAGGGCCTTGTTGTTGTGAAGGTATTAGTGCCTGGTGGACAAACAACCACACGTTACAGCTCAAGCACTGAGACTGGATGAAGAGGGGCAGCGTGTTATTAAAAATATACACATACAGCAAGGACTGACCTGTGCATAGGGGTTCTGTTGGGGGTAGGTGCTCCTGACAGGGTACACAGCAGTCGGGTAGGGGTTTGGGGAGGAGGAGTACGGTGGGACGGTCCCTGTGCTGGGAGAGCAGGACACTTTGAAGGGAGCACTTTGAGCATAGCCTGGAGAGGGAGGAAGACGGCTCATATTAGGGCTGTTTGTTCTGGGACAAAATAGCTGAAGCTTGGAAGAAACACTGGCTGTGCAGCTCAGTAAAACAGGACCCTTATAGAAGAGAAGCACACACACTTTTTAGGGTTATTAAGAGTCTCTTTGGAAGTTTTATTCTTTATTACGTTATGTTTATAATTAATTCAAATCAAGAAGTCAGCTGGAACAATTTGACTCTTTTGAAGTGCATCAGGAAGATGTGTTTCAAGACCTATCAGATAAACTCCGGCAGATTTCAGCGTTACTTTCTTCTCACCGTTAGGGAAGCCTGGGTTTGCTCCTGCGTAGATGTTGGGAGTGTACACTGGAGCAGCTGCTGCGTATCCTAGAGGAAATCCAGCTGCCAAAACCAGAAACAAAACAAGAATATAATAGTATTCTAAATGCTGGGAGATATTTTCTTGTAATTATGCTTGTTTCTTAAACCACTATGCTTCAGGTTACCTGGATAACCTATACCCTTAGTGTTGGTAAAGGGGACCCCTGTTGGCGCAGGGCTGTATACTGGGTTCATTGTGGCTGTCTACTTGCAGATGCTGTAAATAAGAGAAGCACAGACAGGTTGGAATGATGCAATCATGCATGGAAACCAACTGCTGATCTGTGTGCCAGCAGAGCTCTTGTGGAAAGGACGGACATGAGAATATGAAGCTTTCTGCTGCTGTCGATTGTGACCCTGTTGTTCCAAAAACAGCACAATGATTGTGAAAAGATTCCTCGGAATGTTTAAACAAAACCTTCAGTTCTGCTTTCAGAAACCTTAAGCATGTAAACTGGTTTGGTGTGCTTTCTTTAGAGCTTAGACTTTGACATACTCTCCATTTCATTACATTTATATTTCATCGCATGTGCACAAACTACTACTTTTACCCAAAGACACAGCTGAAAGGGATCACAAATAATAACCGTTGTCCCTCAGTGAAGACTGACAGCGGTCTGCATGATATGACCTTGCAAGGTCACGGTAACAAAAAAGTGAAGACTAGACTAATAAGCATTTTTTGACATTGTGTGCTGACATGCACCTATTACAGTTGTATTGGCATTACTATATATTCTGTTTGATAATAAACATAACACAGAGAAGGTGCTTGCGCTATTTTTAAAAATGGTGTCAACATGGTTCCTAATGCTCTCAGCACTGTCTAAAGCAGAAAGAGAGATGAGCGCAACTAGTCATTGTACAATGTTCGTGAGCAGTTTGTAAAAGACATTTTTGGAAAATTAATACACTCAGCTAGACCTTTCATTTTGCATTTTTGATGCCATTCTGTTGTTCGGGTCAAACCTTAAATTTAACAAGGTGCTATAAACATTCCTCAGAGATGTTACTCCACGTTAACATGATGCTATCTCCTTCTCTTCCTGCTACCATGGGGTCTCGATCATGAGTTGGCTCTGCTCTCGCCTCTAGAATTCCCTCCCAGCAAATATCCATATCACTAACTCCCTCTAGCATCAGAACATCTCTTTAAACCGTGTGTAAGGTGACCTTGAGTGTTTTGAAAGGCGCCTGAAACAAAATGAATCATTATTGTTATTACATTTTACAGCTTTCTTAGCGCATTTCCCGAAGAAACCTTGACTTTTGCTTCCCATGACGGTCCCTGGGTTGATTTTAATACATCTGTGCTTCCACCTAGCGGTAGCTAAAAAAAAAAAAAAAGAAAGCCGTAAGCATGAAAAACAAAAACACAAAAAACCTTTCCACCTCGTTACAAGTTGTTCATTCAAAGTGAATGGACTCTGGTAAATATAAATTCACAATTACACTTACTCGGGTTGCTATAAGCACAGTCACGCTACAAATGAATCCAGATTTAACTACAGTTTATTTGATAGGCTGACTCTTTATAGGAAACTGAAATTAATCAAAACTTCTAATTTTCAAAGAGAGAAAGAGGAACAAGATAATTTAGCAATTCGGCTTTATTTGTGTTACTTTAACTATACTCTTTCACCCAAACACAGTGGACGACAGGGGCGAGAGAGGTGTGAAGCTATGCGTTTCTGTTTGGTTTTTTTTTTTTTTTTTTTGTCGTGTAGGTTTTCTTAGACTAAAATCTAAATACGTGCTGCTCATCGGTAAGTCTTAAAGGTTGCTTTCGCCTTCCAAGCACAAACCCTCGGCAGTAACATGTGCCCTCTCAAAACATGACGTTCGATACGTCGCCTGCAAAAATTAAGATGGCAACCTGAAGTAGAAGAATTTGGAAAGGTGAACGCAGCGGGGCTTTGTTACCATCGGCTAGCTTAGCTCACAAGCTTCACGATCTCCACCACCTGCAGTTAGCCTAGCCTGTTTGGCGCCGTAGGTGAGCGTTGCTTTACACGCTGACCCGCTAATCACCTGTCTGACCGCGCGAAGCCGCCGGAGTGTCCCCGGACAGCAGACAGATGGGGGACAGCTCGTCAAGCAGGCCGCATAGCACAGGAGGCAGGCAGCCAGACAGCTGTGTCAAGCGGTGCAGCCTGTCCCGTTACCAGATAATACGCATATCTTTAAGTCCCGGTAACAAAAACCCACAACAACTTACTGTTAGCTGCTCTGACCGTCAGTTAGTCACCTTCTCCGGTCTTGTGGGTTAAAATGAAATAAAGCTAACTGCTGTTTTGCTCCCAGATGCTTTGCTTAACTCTTTTGAGCACCCCGCGTCACTTCCGTGGTGTCACGTGGTATACAAATTAAAAAAATAAAATAATATAGTCTACTTTATATAAGATGCCGGTTTTGTTTTCTTTCAACAACGTGTAAATCTCATGTTAAACAATGAAAACACCAGTAGTTCTTTTTAAACTATTATTATTCGTTTTCCGTCAAACACGATCTGAAAATAATGATCAAATCCAACCAACATGACGTAACAGGTCAGATAACGCCTTTTATTGGTAAACAACTGCATCGTGTTTTAATACGGTTCGTGTTTTTTGCGACACAATCACAACACTTTTGACGTTGCAGCGGTGTAACGTCCAGTATCGCAACACTGCAACAGTACTGTGTAGCAACCCTCCTTGAACTCATTATGTCGGCTCTGCGGTCCTTGCAGGCGGTAAAATTTATTTGACTCGAGCGCGACTGTCACTTCATCAAACAGCTCGTCGTCTCCGGACTCGGGAGACGTTGTTTACTTCTTAAACTGACCACTGTTTCTTCCGAAATAATTTTCGCGTTTCTGTGACAACGGGACAATTAGTGCTTCGTGCCCTTTAAGGACCTTGACGCATCGTTTCCATTCAGCCATTGAAGTGGGAAGAGTCGGGTCCGTATACTGTTGTGGTTTTAGCGCGACCTACGTGTGGGTTTTTACAGGTTAAAAAATGTTGCTGCCGAGCTCATATTAGGAACCGTCTTGCGGTGTACGGTGAAACTACTCGCTCAGCTGGCGTCGTCGGTGAAGAGCAGGGGCATAATGTCTGGAGCGGCGGGTGGGGGAGGAGGCTCCTCCTGCTTGGGCGCAGCAGCGGCAGCCAGTTGCAGCTCCACCGGCTCTCCATATGCGGCTGCAGCCGGAGGAGGCGCAGGGGTGGCGGGGAGGCTACCAGCGAGGGTTTTGGAGCATGTTTTCTCCTACCTGGAGCTGACTGACCTGATGCGGTGTTCGCTGGTCTGCTGGCACTGGAACAATATCCTGGCGGATGAAAACAGCGAGGTGTGGCGCAGCCTCTGCAGCCGGACTCTGGGCGACGAGGCTCTGCGGTCTGACATCCTTTGTAACCTGCCCACCTACAAGGGCAAAGTAGGTTTACCAGTACACATCCATCTGTCCTGGGGTTACCTGTTTGGTGATGCCTTTACACAAAGGGACAGTGTAGCCATAAACATTACTGAATGTCAGCGTAATCTCGTGCTTTGTAACGTATTCAATGAAATATAAGACATAAATGGGCATAAAACTGAATCCTGCTTGTTGTGTTATTGTCTTTCAGTTGGTGATCACACTGAGCAGGTGTAGAGCAGATGTTTTGTTGCCATTGGGCTTATCACTGGAGTCCATATTGAATTGACTCTCCAGTCTATTGTTGCATAATAGAACAAAACCTGTTTTAAGCAGTCTGTGTATGGAGACTGTTTATAGTAGTGTTGATGGCATGAAAGTAAGGTTTGAATGAGAACAACTTGTCTGTGTCCAATGTCAATCTAAGGACGCTCATTCATTTGTTCCAAAGTGTTTTTAGAAACACGACCTACATTCTTATGAAAAATATTTGAGCTCTCCACCTCTGAATGGTGCAATGAGCGTCCTGCGAGATGGAAAGTGGAGTAGCATGTCTCTTCTTCTGTATGCATGCTTCACAGAACTTTTTTCCCCCTTACAAATATTTAGATTTCCCAGCAAGTGTCTGTGATTTTGTTAACTGTAATTGTCTTCCTGTGCAGCTCAAGGCCTTTCAGCATGCTTTGAGCTCCCACGACTGCTCCCGCAACGTTTACGTGAAGAAGAACGGCTTCACTCTGCACCGCAACCCTATCGCCCAGAGCACAGACGGCGCGCGGGGCAAAATCGGCTTTTCGGAAGGGCGACATGCCTGGGAAATCTGGTGGGAGGGCCCCCTGGGCACCGTGGCAGTGATAGGTATCGCTACGAAGCGGGCGCAGATGCAGTGCCAGGGCTACGTAGCCCTCTTGGGCAGCGATGACCAGAGCTGGGGCTGGAACCTGGTCGACAATAACCTGCTTCACAACGGAGAGGTCAACGGGAATTTCCCCCAGTGTAACAATGCACCTAAATATCAGGTAGGAGTCGAGATTTGAAATGACATTTTAAAAGGAAATTGTGTAAAGAGTACAAGTGAAAACATGATTATAACTCCTGATGTGACCGTACCTGTCCACAGATCGGGGAGAGAATACGAGTGATTCTAGACATGGATGACAAGACGTTAGCCTTTGAGAGAGGTTTTGAGTTTCTTGGAGTGGCTTTCCGTGGACTGCCCAAAACCTGCCTGTTCCCTGCTGTGTCTGCAGTATACGGCAACACTGAAGTCACCATGGTGTACCTGGGAAAACCTCTGGATGGCTAGATGCAGATCAGCCTGTGCCACCCTGAAATCATACACGCTCCTGTCAAGTGCAGACAGACTGCTGATTCCCTCCCTATTGTAGTGTTTTAAGGTTTTGGAGGGTAAGTGGTCACATTTCTTCCAAACACAGTAACCTTATTTCCATAAGCACACAGAGAACTGTCTGCAATCTACTTCGACTCACCAAAAAAGCGAAGGTTTGGGGTTTTTTTTTTTCAAACTGGACAAACAGGGGGAAAGGAATGTGCAGGGACTGTTTGTGTATCTACGTGGAGAAGTCCACTTTTACAGTTTAGCTGCTGAACTCTTTTATTCACCTTACAGGGGAAACTTAATTTAATGTCCCGCATTTTGGACTCGTGCTGAAGATTTACTTGAGATTTTGTCTGCTTGAAGGAGGCCTGAGCTACTCTAAACCAAGTGGCGAATACTTTAACGCAACATTTTTAACATGTGACACAGTCGTTATCATGTGAGTTAATGGACAAACGCATTGTGGAATGACTGCATTACAGTGAAATGAAACATGTGAGATGTATTGTAACATTCTGGCGTAGGTAAACCTCAAGGACAGATGGGCCACGTCCATGGCACGTGTGTGGCAGTCCATGCATGCGCACTGTTGTGCTGCGTATGCACTGAAACATCTCCCCCTTTCAAGTACTTACTCAGTAACGGTGGAAACTAAACCTGTAACATGAAATGTGTCTTTTTAATGTGCTACTGTAGTATTACGATTTATTTATTTCCTGGTTTTATCTATGGTACTATAGATACTGTGTGATTTTAAAGCCTGAAAATAAAGTCTACATGGTGCCACTCCTACAGTAAAGACGGTTTGATGTTTGTTTGCATAAGTGAACAGAGTGCAGGTGGTCTGAAAGATCGACCATCACCACACTGTCAGCTATTGATCAGCTGGTAATGGTAAATGGACTGATTCTTATATAGCGCTTTTCTACTCTCCCGGAGTACTCAAAGAGCTGTATAATTGCTGGCTTTTTTTTTTTAAGGAAACTTGGAAAAGAGGATCTTGCTCATGCTGCCAAGCTCAGCCATGAACTGTATGATTATGATGCACAGACTAGCATATCTGGGCTATTCCATTAAAAAAAATACATTTCTCTTAGAATCAGCTGGGTTTTTAGTACAATACAATACAATAACATATATATTTAAAGAAGCTATGCTAATATTGCTTGAAGAAAGAGTGGATTTCGGATACATTTTCATTTATGGTTTAGAAGATGAGCCTGGTATCAAAACATGGGAAAAGGGAAACACATGGGGATATGAACCCAAACTTGAGTTTCTATCTAGCGACTCGTCAAAAAAACAAAATAGATCAATCATCCACAGTAACTTGGCACGTGCCCTGTTCCAGTTACTTTGCATCACAGACATTAAACCTGAGCAGTTTTGCTATTGAAATGATAATATACTGTGATACTGATGTCGGGCTGTATACTTTGATGAAAGTAAAATTTTCCAAGGCTTCATTAAATGTGCTATAGTAACTGTTTAAATAAAATCTGCTGGTTCGCTCTGGAAATCCTTTTATCAGATTTCTTGGATTTTTATACGAAAGACTCAGCTGCTAACAATAAACAACAATACATTTCAATTATTTAGTTTGATTGCTTTATTACCATTGGACTATTTCACAAAGTGTTGTTGCAAATCTAAAAACTTGGCTCTTCTTCTGTTTTTTAACAAGAGCCAGGTAATTACCATAACAACTGTATTATCGATTAGTATGTGGTACAAGCTGCAAAGACAATATCCAGTATACAAGATCAACCACTATAAATACAAAACATTTGACCAGGATTAATGACTTAGTTATGCAATAAATTATTAGCAAAATAAAAACAAAACATACAATCATGTGGGGACACAAAACTTCACATGGCTATATCCATTCCTGTGAAAAACTAGAACTATCCTAACTGCTTCTACGGGAATCGGGGAGGTAAGTATTAGCTAGGTGACACTAATCAAATGCACTCTTTTAGCTGATCATCAGTGATCAGTACGTATGAGCAGCTCTATAAAAGCAGACGTTTTAGTGGTTTGCATGTCTGGACTATTTAGGTGTAGTCCAATCTTCCCAGGAGTTGACCTGTCAGCCAGTTCACCTAAAGAGCAGACCATGCAATGCTCAGTGAAACTGCAAAAAAACACAAGAGCTAGATTTCAGACTCTACAGCAGCGGTCCCCAACCTTTTTTGCGCCACGGACCGGTTTATGCCCGACAATATTTTCATGAACCGGCCTTTAAGGTGTCGCGGATAAATACAACAAAATAAAACTAGTACCGGTACCGAAAAAAAGAAAATTTATTCATAACACACGTGAAAAGACCAAGGAAAACCAAGTAAACGATAAAAACGATAACAAAATAACGCTGAAAACTGATAAAAACCCTGAAAACTAGACATTTCACACCTGAACCTCAACTCTCGCGGCCCGGTACCAAACGACTCACGGACCAGTACCAGTCCGAGGCCCGGGGGTTGGGGACCGCTGCTCTACAGGACTCAGCTCGCATGTTAACTGTTAAAGTTCATGACAGTAAAATTAGAAAAAGACTGAACATGTATGGCTTTTTGGAAGGGTTGCCAGGAAATAGCCTCTTCTCTGAAAAGAACATAGCAGCATGGCTTCCAATGTTGCATCTGAACAAACCACAAGACGCGTGGAACAATGTCCTTTGGACAGACAAGACCAAAGTGGAGATGGTTTACCTCTAATGCACAGCAGCACATTTGGAGAAAACTAAACGCAGCATATCTGCACAAACACCTCACACCAACTGTCAAGCACGGCGGTGGAGGAGTGAAGATTTGGGTTTATTTTGCACCCACAGGACCTGAGCACTTTGCTGTCATTGCGTCAACCATGAACACCTCGAGATGTCAAAGTGTTCTAGAGTCAAACATGAAACAAAATGAGACAAAAACACAATGTTTTATAGCACAGCAGCAAATCTACACCAGAATGGCAGCAAAAGAATAAAAAGTCCAGACCTCAACTTGATTGAAATGCTGTGGTGGGATCTCAAGAGAAGTGTGTGAGTAATGTCTTAAACATGTTGGTTTACTTTGAGGCACCACTTTGGTCTTGTCTGTCTAGCTAGTGAGTGAACAGCATGCACATTTCAAATTTCAACATGCAAAAGGCCTCAGACAAACAGCAACATATCCAAGGGGAAGTTGGGATTTGGAGATTATGTATCGGAATTTCAGGAGCGGGACCACGCCTCCAAACACGCTCTTTCCGGTTGTCATCTATATAAGTTCCCCCCAGTTCTGCAAACTGTTCATTCTCGTTTATGTGCCCCACCCTCCCTCCTTGTTCTCAATTCTTTAACTTCTTCATTCCTATTTAGTACACGGGGATCTGCCAGGCCCGGGAGCCGTCGCCAGTCCCCTTCGAGGACTTCGATGTCCAAGCATTCACCTTTATCTACTAAAACGCTGTCAAACCTAAAATGAGGACGTGGGCCCGGCTAGTGAAATATCTTTAAAGACCACAATGCACTGCTCATAACCTCAGCTGAGAGTTTCATCCAAAACAAAACCTTTCAAGCTTGACTTTTCTCTTTTTTGTAAATGTAAAGGTGTGAAATGCTGTTTTCACATCGCTAACATACCTGACATGACAGCGATGTCGAGTTCTGCCTTCCTGCTCTCTGTCAGTATTTATTTAAAGGCAACTCGGCAATAAAAGATACATTTTACATCTCAAAAAGTGCCAACAGAAATTGTTTTGCAATGCTCTAAAATCAGCTCAGCATGACTCAGGGAAAAAGCCTCTCAGTGCTGGACAGCGTCTCAGCAGTGAAGGAGAGAAATCATTGAATGATTGACTGTCTATGTAATGCCAAGGCAAAGAGATTGGCTGCTTCGCGTCTGCCAATTTGTGGCTCCAGTTTACAGATAGCCTGTTAGAGTACCTGCTAATACTCCCCACTTTCTGTTCTGTCCTTGAACGTCTGTTTGCCGGACTGTCTATCAAAGTCACTTTCTCCATCCTTGATACTTTTACTTTGCACGTCTCACTGTCTGTATCCAGGGCTGCTATCTTCCCGTTCACCATCAAACCTGCTGTATAACTGCTTAACCTTGGTTTTGTCCACACATAACAATCTAATAGGGAATCTGAAAAAGGATACTGACTATATATAATTTATTTTTAATTCCTTTTTAAAGCTTTATTTAGTTGCTGCCTATTGACTGTACAGCCATTACCATAATAATGAAATATTGGAATTTCAGTCACTAAAATGAATGCATAGACTTATAGGAGTGTCTGTACTGCACCTTTCCATTTGTCAAATATTTCCTTTAAAACATCTCCAAAACTTAAAAGTCAAGGTTATCATAGTTAACTAAAACTAAACTACAAACTAGATGTGAAAAAACATAAACATTTGAATTAACTTAAATGTCAAAATAAAAGTTGGACTTTTGAACTAAATTAAAGTGGGAATGATTTTGTGAGAATGAAAACCTTTAAAATCAGTTCAATAATAGAAATTAAATCCTGGTGGAGGCCAGTACCTCACTTTGATGTAAATCTATGTTTCC